CTGCCTTTCAATGGCTGCAAGCTCAAAGCTCAGTATCCTTCACCGGCTATTCCAGGCCTTTTATAACTGGTTTCAATTTGCATTCACAGTTGCTTTCTTTTCTGCATCTTATACCCTAGTTACTTCTTGCCATTCCTCAGATAAGCTAGGCCTTCCTTCATGTATTTTTGTACAAGCTGTTCCCTTTGCAAAAAAGCTGTTTTCCCTCAGTCTACCTGGCAAATTTGTCTTGAACTCATGGGTCACCCAGGCAGCTGGGCTTTTCTTCACAGTCCTGTGTTACACCTCTGCGATATATAACTCACTCTTGTCTATTTACCCCACACTTTGTGAACACCTGGAAAGCATGAATTTTTGTTTATTCACTTCAGGATTTTCTGAGCTTTTTATGTAGTGGGTGTGTAGTCGTTCCTCAGAAAGATTTATTAAATGAATAACCAAATTAGAAGATGACATTCTATTTTAAGTCATGCACATATTTTAATATCTTATATAATTATGCATAAGTACATTTTTACAGTTTTGTTTTGTTCTCCAGCCACAGGGATTTTTATGTGACTTCTACAGAAAAAAATAAGAAAAAATTGTAATTGTGCAAGATTTCAATTGAGGTATTTAGTGGCCTTGTTACGTAGGCCCTCTAGGCTATGAAAGGAAGACAAAAGAGAGTGAGAAGAAGGAGGAGGAAGGAAAGAAAAGAGAGAAAGAAGAGGAGAGAGAAAAGAAAGATGAAACAAAAATGACAGAAAAAAGATAAACTGCATGGACCTAAATATGAACTGGTTTCATCATCAAAGTTCTGATTCATTATCTCCTTAGGGGCCATTCCAGTAACCCAACCCACTTTTTCATCCTCAACTTCAACTTCGCTCAACCAATCAGCATAATTAATCATCACCTAGAATACTTCTTTGGTTTCTTTTCTGTTTTTCCTTCTCCTCTTTTCTTTGTCAGGATACTTTAACCCTTTATTCATCCTCCTCTATCAAAATCCTACATAGCTCTCAAGATGTCACCACCTCCAGCAAGACTTTCCTGATTCTCTCACTGAATGAAAATTTCCTTTCCTCAACTTGTCTGACACTTTTTACTCCTTTTAAGGCCCTCATCACAACCTGCCCTCTACTGTGGTTATTTGTGTACTTAGGTTACCTTGCCTATTAGGGTTTAAGCTCCTTAAATTCAAGAAAAGCCTCTTATGTCTCTCCTCCCTTCTTTCCCTCAGCAGTGCTTGTTAGGGTTTTGATGTTCATTAGGTATTTGCAACATAAAATGGAAATGAGTCGTGAGCCTTGATATAGTTTGAATATTTTCACTACCCAAATATCATGTTGAACTGTAATCTCCAATGTGAGAAGTGGGGCTTGAAGGGAGGTGATTGAAGCATGGGGCTGGATTTCTCAAAAGTGATTTAGCACCATCCCTTTGGTGCTGTTCTTGTGATAGTGAGTTGAATTCTTGAGTGATATGGTGGTTTAAGAGCATGTGAAATGTCACTCGCCACTATCTCTCTCTTGCTCCTGCTTTCGGCATATGATATGCTGGGTTTCTATCTGCATTGCCCCCAGAAGCTGAGCAATGTCCATGCATGCTTGTACAGCCTGCGGAATTGTGAGCCAATTAAACCTCCTTTCTTTACGAATTACTCCGTTTCAGGTATTTCTTTATAGCAATGCAAGAATAGCCTAATACAGGCCCTGTTTGGCATTAATAAGCTTCTTAGGGCCTGAACGATCAGATATATGTATGACTCTGCCTTAATCTGTGCTAAATTTTATGCAATGTCTCTTATTTCTACTTTGTACTAAAAATCTGTATTTCAGAGCTATTAAAGAATTTATTATTAAAACAGTAAGAGTACTTGTAAAGATTTTTAAAGTGCCAATCTCCAGACTTCTTAGACCTGAAACATTACAATCTTGAAAGAGGCAATAAGTTACACTGTCAGGAACACAGACTCTGGGTCTAGATCAACTTGCTTCTGAATCCTGGCTCTGCTGCTTATAAGTTGTGTGACCTAAGTAAGCTCCTTAACTCATCTGTTCCTCATAGGAATAATAACTACCTATCTTATAGGATTGATATGAGAATGAAATGCATTCTTACATGTAAAATACATGGGACAGTATATGGTACATGGTTTGTGTCTGGTAGATTTTACCTATTACCTTAGTATTTATTATTACTACTATTATTATTTGCTCTCAGTTGCATATGTCTGCTTCCTCAATACCGACTCCAAAAACATGAGCTTCTGAACAGTCAGTAACCTATTTTCTCAGTCTTTGTATTTCAAGTGACCCACATAGTCACAGTGCCTGGTATAAACACTGAAGGAGAAGAACCTTGAAGAAAGTTCCTCCTTGGCCTAGAGGTGAAACCGAACTTGCATGCTCCCTGCCATGGGTATTCAAATAACCTTCTTTTCTTGCTCCCATCAACCCCTTATTTAACCCTGCTGGTTTTCATTTATTTTGTAATTCAATCATAATGAATTTTAAAATCCATTCTAACTTCCAGGGATCTCTAGAGACTTGCTTCATCAGTCTGACATCACATGCATTTACATTTCTTAGTTTTTTTGTTTCCTTGTATGAGGTCTAAGAGCTGTTCCAATAAAACACTTTTAAGATTGCATTACACATACTGTGCGCTATTTATTTCTGGCTAGATGTTCAAATTAATAAGCAAGAAATTGCTGATGCCTTGATCAACGATTACAAATGGTAATGCTATATCTGTTATAATTGAAAAAAACTGGACCTGGACTCTTCTTTTGTAGCCGTCTAAGCTATTAGTTTAAGTGGAAAATATTTGCACAGAAAATTCAAGTACAGGGAGATGTTAGAGGCCATCCAGCTTTATCACTTTCTCAAGATGGTAAGTTCTTCTGTATTCCCCATGATAAGTCATCTCTGTCTTCCGCCTGGATTGTCCCAGGAAGAGTGAACACAATACTTTTAAAGTTCTCTTCTGCCTTTGGTGGATAATTTTAGTTGGTAGGCAATTATTTCTTATAGTACTCTCAAAAACAACATAAGGTAGAAAAAAATCACCATCTTCCGTGATGGCCTTCAAATATTTAAAAACAGGTATTTTATTTCTTGACATGTTACATATCAATAGATTGTACTAATGGAGCTCAAGAACTTTTAGACCTGGAAGGCACATAAGGATAATTTAATCCTATTATTTGCAGAAATAAAAAATGAGAGGTTTAGTAAATTGCATGATGTCACTCATTTGTTCATTCAGTTATTGAGTACTCAATAACTGGCTTAAGAAATTTATATTTGAAAGTTCATTATAAGCATATACAATTTTATAATTTATTATAAGGAATAAACTATGGACACATTTATAATTTAGTTTATAAATAGTGTTGAAGATCTTGGGGAACCATAGCTAATCCATTCTCCTCCCTCCATCCCCAGAGGCTACCACTAATCTATGTATGTAATTTAACATTCAAACATATTGTATCAGTTAGTGTTCTAGCAGGAAAACAGAACCACTCTGAGTGATATGGAATAAAGGATGTGTAATGGAGATTAGGTTTTATATGATTGCAGAAACTGTTGAAATAGTGGAAGATTCTTGCCTCTGCCTCTAGTTGTGGACTTAAATTACTGTAGTTTAGTAGGGTCAGAGTAAAGAAGATAAGATAGACATGGAGTAGGGCAGAGTGAGGATAAAATGGAGCACACATCAGTATTTCACTGCCTCCGACCTTGATGATGAAAGTAATGTAAAAGAAGCTCCCTTTGCCATGGAGCGGCACACACACTTGACACTAAACTCAGAGAAGCTGAAGGAGGAGCCATGGGGCTGGAGAAGCTGTGCTTCTAGAGAAGCTGCAGGCCTGGAAATCCTGTGGGCCTGGCTGCTGCCGAATGCCAACAAGGCCGGCAACAGTCACGACCATGTGAATGAGATGTAGTGGCTTCTGACTTTTACACTGACCTTTGGAGCAAAATGTCCGTTTCTTCTCTTTTGCCTTTCAAAGCATTTGGAATATCACCTGTCATCAACCTTGATTTACTACATGTATATGCAACCATAAACAATATGTGAAGTTGTGTTTCATGTCTTCAAGCTTGACATTAATGTCATCTATCTTTTCTTCTGTAACATTTTCACCTTTCATGTTATGTTTGTGAAATTTAACTATGTCGATAATTATTGTTATTTGTGTTTTCTATTTTGCATAGTATTGCATTGAATAATTTGACAATTTATCTACTCTTCTTGATCAATATTTAGATTGTTCTCAAATTTTCAATAGTCAACCAATGCTGCAATGGTTTTGGACATGTCTTTTTGAGCACTTAGGTGAGATTTCTCCAAGCTTTAGAATTAAAAATACCTCATTTGATTATAGATTCTGCACATATTCAGTTTTATTAGTAATTGACAGTTTTCTTCTGAAAAGTGTAACAATTTACACTTTCACCAGCAGTATTTGACATTGGTGCTTCTCAATGGAGGTTGGGGGTGATTTTGCCCTCTAGGTGACATTTGGTAATGTGTAGAGGTACTTTTAGTTGTCACAATGAGTGGGGGTGGTGGCATTCTATTGGCATTTAGTGGGAAGAGGCAAGATTTATACTGCTAAACATCCTTTTTTTTTCTTTTAAATTTCTAGATAACAATTATATAACATAAGTTTACATTTCTAGAGTTGTTCATATACTGAATATGAATGAGTCTTAGAACCAGCTGCCCTAAGTTAGTTCCACTGTATATAAACCACTTGGTTATTAGCAACCCAGAAAGGTTACAATGTGTATTCACTAGACAAAGCACTTTTGAAAGGGTAACGAGATCTATGCACGTACTCTGGTCTGGGAAAATTTGAAAGGTAGCTATTGTAAAATATCATTGATTTCCGAAGAAATAGCTGTTAGAAAATCACCTGTGGCTTATATTGTATTTCTATTGAATAGTACTCATCCAGGTAATGGAAGTAAAACAAGTAAAAGTTTAATAAGGGGTTAATAAAATGGTCCCAATAGACTGCATTCTAGCAAGGTAGCCGATAAAATAGTTAGTGGGAAATTATTTTATGGTCATGTCCACAGCAAATGAGAAATTGCATTCTAAAAATTTTGGTAATGACCATTTGCTAAACATCCTACAATGCGGAGGGCATTCTCCACAGTAAAGAATTATCTGGCCTGAAGTGACAAGTAGTCCAGCTTGGGAAACACTGCTTTACATTCTTGCAGTGGGCACTGTCACTGTTTTATAGTTTGGCCAATCTGATGAGCGTGAAATAGTATCTCATTGCTTAAATTGTTACTTTCATTGAAGTTTAAAATATTTTTCAAACGTTTATATTAGCAATTCAGCTTTTCTTATGTTGTGAATTTTCTGCTCATATCTTTTGACTACTTTTTTATTGGATTATTTTGTTTTTGATTTGTGTGTGTGTCTGTATGTGAGTTCTTTATATATTTTAAATACTCAATTTCTTGGATACATGCATTGAATATATCTTTTCCCAGTCTTGAGCTTGTCTTTTTCTTTATGCTTTTGTTTCTATTTTTTTGGAAATTTATTTTAAATTTTATTGTGACAAATCAACTAATCCATATAGCTTACGATTTCTTGTATCTACAATTTATATACAATTGTAGATACAATGTATCTACAATTTCTCATATCTACAATTTATAGAGCCATTTTCTTTCTAAAGTTTATTAAGCAGTGTCCTATTATTAGTGCATTTTCACACTGCTATAAATAACTACCTGAGATTTGGTAATTTATAAAGAAAAGAGGTTTAATTGAATCACAGTTCTGCATGGCTTGGGAGGCCTCAGGAAACTTACAATTGTGGCGGAAGGTGAAAGGGAAGCGAAGTACATCTTATGTGGCAGCAGGAGAGAGATGGGGAGGGGTAATGGCACACATTAAAGCCATTGACTCTCTTGAAAACTCAGTCACTATCATGAGAACTGCAAGGGAGAAATCTACCCCTAAGGTCCCATCATCTCCTACCAGGCCCCTCCTCCAACATGTGGGGATTACAATTCTTAATGAGGTTTGGGTGGAGACACAGAGCCAAACCATATCAGTGCCTCTCATATTTTAGTTTTCCTTCAACCTGAAATTTATTTTTATGTATGTAATAAAGTAGAAATCAGATATTAAAGATATGGATAATAAAATATCTTGAAAACACTTTTTGGTTATTTTCTTCCTTGTTGATATTTCATTTCCACTTGTTTCCTTGACAACCCTTTTTTTCATTATTATTTAAAAAATATTTCTCTGTTGTGTCTGTTTCCATCTTTTTGAAAGAGTCTTTCCTTTGCTCTTTCTTTAAATTTTTGCAATCTCTGTGGTTTGCTCTTAATCTTTCTTTCTCTCCTTGTATGCTAATTCTGGATAAATACCACTGCTATGATTTACATCTCTAGTTTAGCTCTGTCTTCTGAATGCCATTCCTACTTGTGCTCCCTGGATATTTCTACCTCAGTGACCACAGATACCCTACAAACAGCATTAACAAAACTAAATTCATTATTTTTCCTCTGCCCTCTTCCTGTTTGCCCATTTTTATGTCTGTTCCATCGACCATCCAGTCATCCAACACTGGGTTCATATGGGAACCATAGATGATCCTCAATTCAAACACATAGAACATTTATCCTGTTGTATCATTGACTGGCTATCAAGGAATTAGTTCCCAGTTTTAGAATTGTGCATTTCCCTCCTCCTAGATTATTAAGGTTGATCTTTGTCTTTTGCATTTTAGTTGAAAGCCCCAAAATGAACAGTTCCAATCATTTGCCACTTAAACAAGATGATACTTTCTACCACTGACAAAAGAATTTATTTCTAAATGGTATCATATGTGTCAGCTGAAGGAAAGTTTCTAGTACATCAGCAGATAGGGCCCCATCCAGCACTGCCAATTCTCTGAATTCTGTGTAATTGATTTACATGCAACATTTAACATCTTCAGGTCATCCAAGATTGGGGCTCACTAGCAGATGGCCTACAGATCTCTTCTCTCATCCTGTTGACTCCAATCAATTTCTTTGTGTGGCTCAATTTATATACTGTGTTGGACTGTGGTTTAGACTAAAAATTGCACCATGCCAGTTAGTTTCAACATAGAAGCATTTGCTCCTTTAACCACTCATAAATGGAGCATGAGTGGTGAAAAACTGAGAATGTAGTGCTTACATTGTCCTGAAGGTGAAACAAGATGATTATGAAGCACTTTGTTCACTGAGAGGCACATGGCAAGTACTTAATAAATTGTTGCAAATACTTGTCTTTATTATTGTACCTAAAAACTCTTACTGCTACTTGATTGTGTATCTTATCACTAAACTCATACACCTCTCTAAAATAAACTGTGGCTGATTCAGTCCTGTAGCTCCATGAAGCCTAACTTAGAGCCTGACCTATTGGAGGTATTCCATAGTTGGGGATTTAAATGAAATGTAAGTGCCTTATTGAAAATGAGTTTATAAGATGCTTTCCTGGGAGCAGTTTTTAGTAGAAGTAGAGAGAATGCATGAGGAGACTGGATGCATGAAAATGAAAGGGGCACCACCATTGGGAGAAAAATAGCCAAATGTCTACCATATTGTGTGCATGAACTCTGAAATACTAGATTGTAAGATGCTTTTGATTTATTCTGCACATAGTATTCGTAGAACTTGCTAACAATTTGGAAAAACAGAGTATATCCCTATCAAACATCATATAGTAAAATGAATTCCAGACAGATTAAACGTGTAAATGGAAAAAACACAGCCATTAAATTTTAAAGGAAAATAGGGAGGGATGAATGTGTGAGCTTGGAGCAACATTTTCTAAGCATACCATCAAAAAAAAAAAAAAAAGAAATTGATAAAAGACTTAATCTTATAAAAATAAGAAAAAAACCTGCCTTATTTAAAAATATTAATGAATGAAAGAGGAGAAAAACAAGTTGTAATGCTATTTGCAAAATATATGACTAGGTGTTAATATTCTTAACATGTGAGATACTCTAGTAAGTTAGGATGAAAAATATAGAAAAGTCAATCAAAAAATGAACCAAGGGCATAAATATCCATTTCAAAAAAAGATGGACAAATCACCAATACAAATATAAAGAACGTTACAATCAATAATTTAAAAATTGCCAATTAAAATATAATTTTCTGCTTTTTAAGTTGACAAACATTAAAAAAAATCACCAGCAATTTTCCATTTCCAGGGTGCACACTTTGTTATAAGGTGACTAAGCTCTGGAGACCTCATGTACAGCATGGTGGCTATAGTTGATAGTAATGTTTTGTATGCTTGAAATTCTCTGAAAGAGTATAGCTTGAGTATTTTTACCACAATAAAGAGAATGTAACCATATGAGGAGATAGATACATTAGTTTATTGTGGTAATAATTTCACAAAAAATACACATATATCAAACCATCATGCTGTACACTTAAATATTTGTCAATTATACTTCCATGAATCTGGGGAAAAGATCACCAGTGTTGATATAATTTTGGAAGAGCCATTTCTATGTGCCACAGGTCATACATGGGTACCGTCTTTCTGGAAAGCAATTTGCCAATATTCTTCAAAAACCAAAAATGTGTACTTACGTTTTGTCCCAGGAATTTCAATTCAAGGAATGTATAATTTGTACCCAGAGCTTTAACTGTAAGAACATTAATTAACTTGTGGTTAGTAAGTGGAATCACAATTCTATTACCCAAATGACTGTGCTAGTCATGATGCCATTTGCATTTTAGTTATCTTGGGTCTTACTAAGGTCACTGTGAATCATTACATGACATTCTGATTTTATACATCAGTACCAAGAACTTGGATAATTTGAGTCTTCCCCGGAGATATATCTGAGTTTAGCGGAAGTAAACACGTTTCTGAGCCTACAAGTCTCAGACTTCAGATGCTGAAACATAACAAATTTTCTCATGTAATAAATTCCACTTAGAGAGACCCCTTAGGAGACCGCTAGGTCCCCCCAGATGACAGATTCCTCTGCTTCTCCATCTTGGCAGCAAGGATAAAAGTTTTCTTGATTATATCTTCTACAGTATATATCAATTTTTTATTGCTATTATAAGATGTCACCATAAACTTAGCAGCTTAAACCAACACCCACATATTAGCTCATTTCTATAGGTCAAGAGTCTAGGGAAGCTCAGCTGGGTTTCCTCCTTAATGTCCCAAAAGGCAGAAATCAAAGTGTCATCCATGCTGAGCTCTTATCTGGAGGCTGTGAGGAAGAATCCATTTCCAAAGGCATTCAGGCTGTTGGCAGAATTCAGTTCCTTACAACTAAGGGACTAAGCTCCCTTTCTTTTCTGACTCTCAGCCAAGGTCACTCTCAGCTCCTCAAGGCTGGTCTTGCAGTGTCCTCATTCCCTCTTCAAAGCCTGTAACAGCATAACAAGTCCTTTTGGAATATTTTACTTCTGCTACCCGTCAGATAAATACTCCAATTTTAAAAGACTTCTGTGATTAGATTGGGCCTGCTAGGGTAATTTCTCCTTGAACTAACTCAGAGTCAACTGACTGAAAACCTCTAACTATATTTGAAAAATCTCTTTATGTAATTATTTTCACAGTCCTGGGAATTAGGGCGGAAAATCTTGGGCAAGGGGGTGCATTTTGGAATGCTTACTGTAACATAGTATCTCCATGTAAGTTGCATGACTCTATGACTCTGACTGTTGATACAAAATAATGATAAAATTATAGAAGGTAAAAATTAATTATGCTGTGCTAGGTTATAAATACTCATTCCTACTATTTGGAATCATGGGGCTAGACAGGTATCAAAAATGTGGGGCTGGCTAGGTGGGAACTGGGGAGAGTTAACACTGGCAGATTATTGCCATGGAGGAAAGTGGCTGAGGTTTGCCAGATCTTTTGTGGTCCAATAGATTATATATGTATGTGTGTGTGTGTGTATAGATATACATACTTATACCTATATCTTTTATGTATATATAAGATATATTTAAAGTCTTTATTTTTAAGAGTTTGTAAGTGGTCTATACTTTTAAACACATTGCAAAAATGTTTACAACATATATATATATTTGGTGGGGGACAGAGTCTTGCTCTGTCACTCAGGCTGC